CACCCTTCAAAGCAAACAGTGCGGTGACAACCCTTCAAGCTGGTGTCCCATTTGATGGTTAGAATTTCTTAAACAGATTAAATTCCAAATAGAAAAATGTCCGCGTTCGAAATCATATCCGACTACTCCAAGGCGAACTTGAAGGTGATTCCCGACGCGATTTTGGACATGAGCAACTTGAAAATGCTCTTCTTAGAGAGGAATTTTCTGGTCAGTTTGCCCGAGAATTTCTTCTTTTCCGTGGAGGAAATTCGAGTAGTTTTGACCCAGAGAGTAGATAATTGACCCCCCCCCCCAAAATTTGTTGAAAAAGTTGAAAAATGAAAATCGAAGTGATCCAAAGGAAGGAAGTCAACTTGATATTATGTGGTATAAATAAGAGACTGGCGAAAACAAAAGCGAAAAGAAAATAAAATATGAGATGAGAAAATAGTCCATACACATACAGTCGCTGCGCAGTCTAGTTTGCAATGGGCCGTGGGCTTTTCTGGACAGAGCCACACATATAACCACTATACCGACTACCACAACCACAACTGTGGCCGCCACTGGAACCGCGATATTCCACTCAACCCAGTCGGGGATCCAGGGGAACAGCATTCGCATGCCGGGCATGTCCCTGGCCGGAGCAATAGTACCTAGAAGGAACAACCAATTTACCTTTGTTATAGTTTCCTTTGCCGCGCAAAACGCATATCACGATTATCGCAACGATAATGACGAGCACTGCAGCCACTACGGGTACTACTAGGTTTAGGTTGGCGAGGATAATTTGAAGGGTGTCCTCTTTTGGGATTTCACGGGCTGGGGCAATAGTACCTGAAACCAAAACACAGGGGGTGTTCTCAGGGCACTTGCATCATTCCACTACTCAAGGAGGTGCTCTGTGCTTGTCTATTTGTCTATGGCTCTCAGTTTGGAGCTCATGTGGCGTTTATTCATTCTTTAACTATTTGGTATCCATTCTTATTAAACGCTTTTAAAGATTGTCCCCTTTTCAATGCTTACGATAACCGTTGCGAGCAGGAGCTCATTATTTTATTACTTGCTTTATTATGAAATGTTCTATCTCGAGTTTGAGTACGGATGTGGGAAGACAACAACCCTTAGAGTGTTCTCCCATGGATTGACTCCATAAGATCAGTTACACTAATTTTAAACAATAATAAACGCACATTGACCCAAAACTGCAGTATTTTACCATGTCGGCTAATTATGTATTAATATATTAATCTAGTTAAATTATTGATTTCATTTTTAAGTAATATTTGCCATTGTAACCATCAACTCTCAACTCAATCGACTCAAAAACAGCCAAAAAACAATTCGTTTACAATCCGTGTTTTTGAAATTTGAAACTTCCGCCTGAGAATTTTCAAGCTGTTGCTTTATTGTGATTGTTTGCTGTATGTGCTCTTTATTGTAATTATTTCTTAATTAATTAATATTAGATAAATTCTATATTGTTGAGGCAGATTCATTTTTTTACAAACTTCTTTTTGGGTATTTCCCCTCAAAAATGTTTGTCTTTAAAAAACTCTTGTCTTTTTTATTACAGATTGATAAATAGTGCTCCTATTTCGCAATAAGTTTGTAAAAAATTAATTAATATTAATTATTCTCTTTAAAGTGAGAAGGAAAAATATGAAAACGAACGCGATTCCCGAACATTGAACAGCTCAAAACTCGAAAACTGTTCAAAATACGCCAAAAGTTAAAGTGGCATTTTGGAAAGAGTTCCACACAAACTGTCTTCTGCTGATTGAGTTTCATGGGAAATTCCCAACCTTCTAATAGTTAGAAGCAAAAATATCAAAACGAACGCATCTGTAATATTTAAAAATATTATATTTTCTAATATTTAAAAAACAATCTTAATATTATCTCTTATTTCTTGAGGTACTGGATTATTGCCATTCAATTCTCTTCGTTGATCTATTAGTGTTTTGGTGTGAGGGCGGATTTTGTTCTGTTTTTTATTTTTTGGGCAGAGCTCGTTTGCTGCTGTTTCTATTCCTTCTGTTATTGTTTTATTTAGCTCGTTGATGTCTACTGTCTCTGTATTTTCTAGTGCTTTTGTTATAGCATTTTCGAACTTTGTTGGGTTTGCTGGGTCCTGCCAATTCCTCTTTATTTTGATTTTTATCCCAGCAAAAAACTCATCAAAAAATTTAAGAGCGTTCAAAATTACGTACACAACAAAACGCGGATAATAAAATTATTTTAATTTAATTATTTTTTTTTATATAAATATTAAGTAGATGACATGGCTGAGTTCAACCCTTCAGTATTATCGGATAAATGTCAACTTTTGAACAATCATACAAATGATCATAAGTAATCGTGTGCCAAATTTGAAAGCAATCCGATAACAAAACCCGCAGAAACATGAAATCAATAAATTAAAGAGATACAACAAAGGTACGACACTTGAGTGAAATGTACACATAAAAATTAATGTTTTAGACAAATAATTGTTGTCAATGAACGTGAGATTTAGTCAGTAATGCGCATATGATGTGTTTGAATGTGTTGTTAAATACACAAAATGAAGTTGAAATCAATCGAAACTGAGACTAAACTGAAACGACCCAAGAGAAGATTTGCAGCTCCATGTATTATATTCAGGTACTATTGCTGTGAATTGATAGGCAAGAGATCAATTTCTTTAAAAAGCATATCATGAGTCTATAGACGACGGTGAATGGTTATAAAACAAGTGCTGCAAACAACAAAATAAAGTAAAATAAAAAGAGAGAAAGCAAATCACAACAAAGCAAACAATCATATTTTAACTGAAACATATTTAAAATGTGACGACAAAAAAGTAAAGCCGTGTTTTTCGAATGCCCCCAAACGGATCACCAAATTTTGGCATAATTTTCAAAATGCCTTAGTTGTATGTAAATTATAAGGAGTTACAGATCGAAAATTCCATAACATCATATGCATTGAAACTAATTCGATGTTTGATAATGGCACGGTTCGACTTTGTGTTTATTAAAAATTACTTCATTTGGGTCGATAATGCGTGTTTCATTTGATTTTCATTTGCGGCAAACAAAAATAAAACATCACGAAAATCATGAGAAAAAGCAAGCGCTAAAATGCATGACACTACTAAACACATGAGACACATGTAGACTATTTACAGTCCTTACCCCCAGTAACGGTGAGAGTGGCAAATTCGTATTCGGCAACGTTAAATCCTGCATTGTTATGAGCGGTCACTCTCAAATGATACCAAACCGCAGGATCGAGGTCCAGTAAGATGAAGTTTTGGCCAGGTTTAACGTTGTTTGAGACCTGGATCCATTCTGAGCTAATTCTAAAATTTTCAGTAGCAATTTCAACAGTTATTCGCAATAAGTGGCGGAAGTTAAGGGTGCTTCGTCAGACTCACTTCTTTTTGTGTTCAATCACGAAGTAGAGCATTGGACAACCGCCATCAGACCAAGCACTCAAGTGCAATGTGATGCTGTTGGAATTCACTTCAATGAATTTATCTGCGCTTGGAATGATGGGCTTTTCTCCCTTGGTTTTCGGGTTCAAGTTGTCCGAAGGATCGCCGGTTCCAATGCTAGTAAAATTTACATTTAATGAACAATTAAACTTTTACACTTCCAACTCCTCACCTGTTGTAGGCAGTAACATACAGTTGGTATCTAGTGCCGCAAAGCAATTTCTCCAAAGTGTACTTGTCGGTAGCAGGCCCCACTTGCACGTTTTCCCATTCTCCGAATTCGGGCTTGTAATGGATCGTGTATCCATGGACTTGCTCACCATCGGATTCGTGAGGCTTGATTTTAATCGACAAAGAGTTTGTGGTTGTGGACATCAGCGATATCTGGAAGGAGATTCGTGTGCGGTGACGAGAGCCGAAATTGATTTTTGCCGAAAATATACCTGTGGTGCTCTGGGGGGCGCGTTGACAATCAACTGATGCGTAACGGAGTCTTGGCCATAGTCATTCTCCACTTTGCAAGAATATTCTCCGGCATCAGTCCTGGTCACGTCCCGAATAAATAGAGAGCCATCTGGTTGTTGACGAACGCGATCGTTGGTGTTTGCATTGAACTTGACACCTTGAAACACAAATTTTATGGAAGAAATCAATGTGAATCAATTTACTCACCTTTAATGCTCCAAGTGATTTGAGGCGGCGGCACTCCAACAGCCAAACAGGGCAGTGTTACGTCCTCTTTATAGGTGGTGGTGAATCGGTCATCGAACGAGGCAGTTTTTGCTGGGACTAAAGAACTTATTAGTGAAATGTGAATGGGCTGAAACTCGTGCACTGACCGCTGTTGCTGGGGGAAACGTTCACTTTTTTCGACGGTTGTCCCTCCCCAATTGTAGTGGCGGCAGTTACCCAGAATTCGTATTTCAGATTGCTGTCCAGGCCTTTGGCTTGGAAGCTGAGATTCTGGTTTCTGATGTTCGGGACGATTTTCTGCGATTTCGGCTTTTCGTCATTGTCCCCAGCGACTTTGTAGTATACCATATAGTATTCCACAATGCCATTGGGTTCGGTCGGAGGCTTCCAACTGACCAAAATTGCGTCAGACGACATTACCAGAGCTTTAACGGCAGTTGGAGATTCGGGGACTAAAAAGACGGCGCTTAATAGAAAAAACTCTCAAGTTGAACAGAAACAGTTTAATTTTAAGTGATTTCTTCGCGGTTATTTGTTAAGTCCTGATTTTAAGAAAAAGAAAACTAATTCATGGGTAGAAAATGGGGGATGGGGCGTAATCTATAAATCTTGTAACGCTCGAACTGAAGTTTTATGGATTCGTTACACATTCTCCCCCATTTGCTTTGCTGATTTTAAATAAGTTTGGCCTTGGATAGATTTGCTGCTGTACTAAACACATTTTCTTCTTTCTTTCCAGGTGACTCTACGCAGCTTTCGGTAAGTTTAGCGTTACAGAACTTTTAGTCCCATATTCAATAGACTCGTAGGGCGGATTTGCTTTCGATTGAGCTATTGGTTCTATCGTTGCGTCCCACAAAAAAAAAATTAGGAGCAATATTTTGCCAAATGGGAGTTACTGTGCCGGTGCGTTGAGTTGGCGCAACAAGCCATTTCGGCAACACTGTGCCAACTCCTGACAATTAACTGGGTTACCCAGGCCAACTAGGTAGAACTCACCATCCTGCTCAGTTTGGCAGGCAATTGGAGAAGTGCGAACTCCATCGCCGCCTGAGGTGTAGGTCAAGACTTCCATGCTGTAGTTTGTATACTTCTTAAGACCGTGCAAAATCGTCTCGCTTGAAGCGGTGATTTTGGTGTCCTTAGTTTTCTCATCTGCAAGCACAGCAAATCAATCCAAAGCCCGGGATCGCCCTCAAGAAAGTTACCAAACCAGCTGTCTGAAGGTCCATAAATCACTTTGTAACCCTTGATAACTCCGTTGGCGGAAGTAAGCGGAGGCGATACCCAGGAAACTCGAATAGTCTGGGCTGTAAGAGTGGTGCAGGTGGCCTTGTCTGGGGGCTGTTCGGGCACTCCTTCGGCAGTGTTTGCTTTGTATTCCTCGGAAGTAGGACCAGCGCCAATTTTGTTAAACGCCTGAACCACCACCGAATACTGCGTGTATGTCTTCAGACTGGTGATCTGCAAAAGGTTGTTATTCGAGCTACTGATCCCGCAATCAATCCCGGATATTCTCCTGTACCTTCAGGTGATGTTCTTTGCGTTCCTCTTCGCGCAAGAATTCAACAGTCTCAAACAAGTAGGGCTTGTCAGTGTTGGCCAGTTTGTATCCCACATAGTAGCCCTGTATGTCTCCGTTCCAATGGTCCCGAACAGGTGGCTTCCAGTAGACAATCAACGTGTGTTGGTCCTCAGCTTCTACTCTGATGTCAGTTGGTGGGCCTCCTAAGGCGTATTTCGAAAAATTACAACCTGCAACCCATGGCGGTTTAGTTGCTTACCGGGCACTTCTTCGGCAGTGATTATGGTCACGGTGTCGGAAGGATCAGATGACCCGATTTCGTTTTCGGCTACAATTCGGATGTGATACGTCGTCGCTGGACGAAGCGTGAAAATGCCAGCCTCGGTCTGATCTCCTGGTATCAGCACCCGTTCTGAGCTCTTTTCCCAGTTGCTTTTGCTCGGTTTATATTCGATTATGTACTTCTTAATCGGAGAGTTGCCGTCGTAGGGCGAAACCCAAGAGAGTTGAACGGTTTTGCCGGATTTATCCAAAACCTTCAATCCATAAGGCACTTCTGGCACCTCTTGTACGATCATGTTGATGTTGGTGTCGTCGCTTCCAAAGGCATTGGTGGCCACGCAAGTAAATATTGCAGAATCAGATCGTTCCGTTCGTTTAATACTCAAGTCCGACAAAACACCTACAACAACTTAAAACTGAACAAAAAAAACACTTTATCTTGAAAACCCACCATTGGGTAAGATTTCTTCCCGGATCGTGTATCTGTTGTCTCCCTTCGGTTCCAAGCGTTTGTTGTTGATGTTCCACAAGATTCCTATTGGCTTCTCGCCCTTAGCCTCGCACTGAAGCACGGCTGGGTCTCCACGCCTGGATGTTTGATTGCGGAATTTCACTTCAAAGTGCGGAGGGGCTGCAAAAATTGTTGTTAATTAATTTAAATGTCATAAAACCACTACGTTTTTTCCGTTTCCTCACCTTGCACACTAATCAATACGACGGCAGATAGGCCTGATCCAATACCGTTAACGGCCTCACATAGATAGTATCCTTCGTTCGTTTTTTGAATATTATTGATCATCAGAGTTCCATCTTCGACTCTCACATCGGGATTATTTGGTTTGAAGTCTTTGTAATCGCCCGGAGAGACTCCTAGTAAAATGGAAAGGTGCAAATTCGCGCTAAGGCAAATCATCAGTTAATCTTACCAGTTGCCCGTTTCCAAGTCACAACCGGCTTAGGAAAGCCATCGGCTTTACATTCAACGGCCGCGTCTGAGCCTTGAGCAAACGCTTTATCTGTGGGCTCTAAAATCCACCTTGGAGGCACTAAAAGTGAAATGATCGTTATAGATTACCAAGTTCTCCCAGGTCAAGTCGAGATAGGCATGCAAGCGATGAAGTATGGGATACATTGAGAAGGTCAAGAGCTCATTGCTTTTAACCACATTGTTTCGATGGCTGTTCTGTTATCCAATTGGGTTTGTTACTTGGAATAGGGCAGAGCTCTTGATTTCTTGGAAATATTAAGTTTTCCTTATAATTTGGAATATTTTTTTCGTATTTGAAGGAGTTGAAAAACATTAAGAAAGATTCCACGAGAGGACCTAGAAATATAATATTGTATCTGATGAGGTCATATAACTACCAAAAAACTAATAGGCCAGGAGAAATAGATAACTATTGGAATCGCTTGAAAAAGTGCCCTTTTTGCATAAGCAACGAAAAAGTTTAGCGAATGCGAAAATCGCGTTTTCTTCGGAAACAATCGCATATAACTCGGTAAGTATGCGTTTAAGAGAAAAATTGTATATATGAATTTGTTCCATATGAAATTTTCTACAAGAACGAGTTGGTCCGATGTCCGTAGATTTGCAACGTTCGCTGCAAAATGCTCGATTTCGATTTTAAATAACTTACAGTGTGACAGTGGTTGAAAAATTCCTGCAAAATCCAAAAAATTAGTAAGGAAATCTGTTTTCTTCTCATTTATGGCTGGGATTATTCTCTATCGAATGGAGTAAAGCGCAAACTTGGGGGATTTTTCTCTTCTTCTTTGAGAAATTTTAGTTGTTACAGTGGTTTAAAAATTACTGTAAAATCCAAAAAAATAAGCCGGAAAATTGATTTATGTCTCATTTATAACCGAGTTTACTCTCTATTGATGGAGGTAAAGGGCAAATAAGAGCGGTTTTGCAAAATTTTCCACTTTCGAGCATTTTGCAGCGAACGTTGCAAATCTACGGACATCGGACCAACTCGTTCTTGTAGAAAACTTCATATGGAACAAATTTAAAAGTTTAAATTTGTTCTCTGAAGTGCATACTTACCGAGTTATATGCGATTGTTTCCGGGAAAAAACGCGATTTTCACTTTTTCGCTGTTGAATTCCAATATGTAGTTATCTAATATAAGAGCGATATTTGAAAAATTTCGTCATAATTCTCCTGGCCTATAATGTATATAGAGTCCCGCAGCAGCAGCAGAGTATCGTTTATTAACAAATGCACACATTTCTAAGGTCCCCTAGAATGTATCCCATTAAAAGCATGCAAGTGAAGAAAATGATTGATATGTCGAGCTTTACGAAATCGTTATCTTATAGGCAACAACCAACATCAATTTTAGTAAACCTCGACATCGACTAAATGAATTAGTGATAAAACTGAAAAAGCATGCACTAGTTAACGGAACAGAATGAAGAATGAAAAAGTGCTGGGAGGTTGGAAAAAGGGACACCCTGTATACGTCTCAGCCAAAGGACAGTGGATCGGGAGGATTGGGTTCAGAAACAGTACTGAGACGTTGAGAATTGAATTGATTAATCTGTTAACACTCAGTGCAAAAGTAAAGACTTGTGCTGTTGAAACATTATCAGAGCTTTGTTTGATTGAGGGCAGAAGACCGATAGAAAACAGTTTAACAGAAGTCGCCGACCTGTGCGTTTTAGACAAATTAATATTTGACCCCATCACTTGGCAAAGAAACAAATGAGAAAAAATCACCATAAACGTCCAAGGAAGCGGAATATTCCACTAATCCGGCTGCATTTGATACTTGGCAGGTATAGTTGCCTGCGTTTTCCTCGCTTACAGCATCGATCAGAAGCAAACTGGCTCGCACCCCAATTTTCATCGTACTGATACTACTCCGAATATCGATGGGGTTCTGATTGAACTTCCAGGAAATTTTTAGAGGTGTGTCTCCTTCGGAGACTAGACAGGTGACTTGAGTGGTTCGACCGGTATGGATGGGAGACTTTCCAAAACTAAACGGGACAACGTCCGGTTTCACTATAAAGAAAAGACGTTGCTAGTTAAAGCTATTCTTTGATTAGGACGGCGGAAGAGGGAGCGATTAAGCTATTGTCAAATAAACGATGTGGATTGTAACCATTAACTTGCAACTCCGTGGTGAAGGAATCTTCAGCAGCCATGTTCTTGGCCCAACAGCTGAAATTGCCGGCAACCGAGTGGGATACCGACTCGAGGGTCAACAGCGATGTCCGTTTGCCCACTTTAGTAACTAATATTTCGCTAAATGTGTCTACATGGTGCCCATTCAGAGTCCACGTTATTTTAATGGGTAGATCGCCTTCCGGTACCAAGCAGGTTATTTGCGCAAACGACCCCTCGTGCACTGGATTGTCTTCGAAATAAAACGGCGTAATCCTCGGAGGGACTGGAGAGAAGAAAGTGTTGTTTACAGACAAACAGAAAAATGAAAACATAACTAAATCAACACAGCGAAGAACTGATGATAATGAAGTCATGAAACTATAACTAACATCGCTAATAAAAGTGTACCGTTAACTCTTAAATGAGCTGAATGTCTCGTAAGTCCAGCTTTATTTTTTGCTGCGCAAACATACTCTCCACTATGATAATCTTTAACGTTATCAATAGTTAACTGACTAACTCTTTTACTGCTACGTACAAGGTTTGCTTCTTGAAGCGATTCAATCGGATTGCCCTGGAATGTCCATTTGATTCCGATGGGCAGGTCGCCCTTTGCGACCACACAAAGGACAGTTATCATGTCGCCGGAGTTCACTGCCGCCTCACCAAAATCAAAAGGGTTTATTTGAGGGGGCACTGAAAGCATCAATTGGAGGCTTTAACATTTTAAAGAGTTAGCTGGTTGTTTAGGAAGAGACTTAGGAGTTTAGAAGACCGTGGGCTATCGTCCTGTCGGACGGGGCTAAGGACCGGGACAAAATCAACAACAAAAAAGTGCAGACTAATCAATAACCGTTCACTTGAAGCTCGGTTGTATGGGCGGATTCTCCTGCCTGGTTCGTGGCTTTGCAGGTGAAGTTCCCCGCTATCAAGTGAGACACTGATTCGACTGAAAGGATGGAGCTTCGTTGTCCCATTTTGGCAACGTCTATTTCCGAATAAGCTTTCACGATTTTGCCATTGAGCAACCAGTGGATTTCCATCGGCAAATCGCCCTCGGCAGCCAAACACTGAACTTGAACATACTGCCCTTCTTGCATCGGATTGTCTTCGAACGAGAAGGGAGTGATTCTTGGCGGAACTGCGGGATGAGAAACTGGAATCAACTGGGAATTGCATGTTAGGTTTTGCGTAAAAACTCGGGACTTTAACCATTAACGTGCAGCTCTGTAGAATATGCGGTCTCTCCAGCCCGGTTTTTGGCTCGGCATGTGTAGTTCCCTGCATGGGCGTGAGTTACTGATTCCACTATGAGTATGGAGCTGCGTTTTCCAACTGGCAACGAGCTTAACCTTAAGGCCTGCGGCATTTCTTTATCGTTCAAAAGCCACGTTATATCCAAGGGCAGGTCTCCTTCAGGGACGAAACATTGAGCCTGCAAAGATTGCCCTTCATGGACGGAATCTTCTCCGAAATCGAACGGGAGGATTTGCGGAGGAACTGGCAACAAAATAGTTCTTCGGTCAATAGGTTTAGGGGGCTTGGACTGGGCAGATTATGAAATGGGAGTAAATCAAGCGAAACAATCTAAAGCACGTCGTACCATTAACACTGAGCTCGGCACTGTACGAGGCCTCTCCCGCTTTATTTCTCGCTAGGCAAGTGTAGACGCCCGCATGGGCATGAGATAGGGATTCAACGGATAAGGTCAAACCCCTTTTACCAGCCGTCGATACGGAAATTTCTGGATAAGTCTGCAGCTTGGCATTATTCAGCTGCCATTCGATGGCAATAGGAAGATCGCCTTCTCTGACTGTGCACATGACTTGTAAAAATTCGCCATCGTTTAGAGGGGCAGCCCCAAAGTCAAATGGAGCAATCTGGGGTGGCACTGGAACAGAGTGGGCGGATTGGGGATTGCGAACATTCACGAAAGCATCCACTCATCATGCAATGGCCCACTACTTAAGTAGGTATACGTAACCATTCACGTGGAGGACAGTGGAATACGCATCTTCTCCGGCCGCGTTCTTTGCAAGGCAGGTGTATCTACCGACGTGCTCATGAGAGACGGATTCTATCGACAAAGCCGAGCCTCGTTTTCCTATTAAGGAAATGCTCATTTCCGGATACTCTTCGACATTTCGCTCATTCAGGAACCACACAATGTTGATGGGCAAATCGCCGCCTTTCACGCTACAGGTTACTTGGAGGAATTCGCCTGCGTTTAACGGCACATCGCCAAAATCGAAGGGCACTATTTGAGGAGGGACTGAAAAAAGGTTCAATTGCAATCAAGCGGTTGAGGGCGGAATAAAATGACAACTTAGCAAGCTAAACCAAATGCTCTAGTAACCATTAACGTGTAAGTCTGCTGAGTACGTAGACTGTCCTGCCTCGTTCCGTGCCACGCATGTATATTTTCCTGCATGGGCATGCGAAACCGATTCGATCGACAAAATGGAGCCCCGTTTTCCGGCTGCCATTGTAGACATTTCCGGGAATGTTTGCAGCGGTTTGCCATTCAACAACCACTTGATTGAAATCGGCAGATCGCCTTCCTTTATCGTGCACACAATCTGGATGAACTCGCCGGCGTTTAGAGGAACATCGGCTATATCGAATGGATTAATCTGAGGAGGCACTGTGAAAAGTGAAGCAATCATACATGGTGTCTAAGGAATGGGATGAAACAAACGACAACTACTAGAAAATGATTAATAACCATTGACGTTCAATTCGGCTGAATATGCAGCATGGCCGGCTTGATTCTTCGCAACACAAGTGTATTTTCCTGCATGGGCATGCGATATGGACTCGATAGACAAAATGGATCCGCGCTTCCCGGCCGGCATTGTCGACATTTCCGGAAATATTTCCAATTTTCGGTCGTTCAACATCCATTCGATGGAAATCGGCAAATCTCCCTCGCGGACTGTGCAGGTAACTTGCAAATATTCACCGGCATTTAATGGGGCATCCGATATGTCGAAGGGGCTGATTTGCGGTGGAACTACAGTGCGATTCAAAATTAGCATACTTATAACGTAAAACTGGAGATGTGTGGAAAAGAGGCAAGATCGTCCAGTACTATAACGGAACGAATTCCGTGATGAATGTTTGTTAGTTGGTAAAACGGGGACAAATCGAACAATCAAGCAAAAGAAAAATGATGATAATAATAGTGATATACACCGTTAACCAGCAGTTCAGTGGAATATCTGGCTTCCCCAGCTGAATTCTTAGCGTGGCAGGTGTAGTTTCCGGCATGGCTGTACGAAACAGCTTCGATCGATAAGAACGACGTTCTCCTGCCCACTGCCGCAATTGCAGTTTCCGGATACGTTTCCAACTGTTTGCCTTCGAACAGCCAGGAGATATTGAGCGGCAAGTCCCCTTCAGTAACGATACAGGATGCTTGGATAAACTGGTTTGCGTGAACGGCCGTTTCTCCAAATGTGAAGGGAACTATTTGCGGAGGGACTAAAATGCAGGGTGATTAGCTGAGAATATTGGCAGTGTCGGAGTTAACGGGTTTAAGTTAAGCGGCAAAATACAGGCAAAAACATGAAACAATAACCATTGACTAGTAACTCAGCACTGAACGCAGATTCCCCGGCTTCATTCAACGCTACGCAGGTGTAGTTGCCAGCATGGGCGTGCGACACGGAGTCTATGAGTAAGATGGCCATTCTTTTGCCAAGAACAGTAGTGGACATTTCGGGAAATCGCTCCAGTTGCTGGTCGTTAAACCTCCAGGAGAAATTCAACGGCAAATCCCCCTCGGATACGAGACACGAGACTTGCACGGACTGTCCTGAGTGCGCAGGGTTATCCTCAAAGTAAAAGGGCGTGATTCTGGGTAGAACTAGGAACAGAAACAATGCAATTAGCAGGCAAAAAAGTTCAATACCCTTGACAACCAGTTCAGACGAATAGCTAGTCATTCCGGCTCTGTTCGTTGCTGTACAAGTGTAGTTCCCAGCTTGCTCTTCGCTGATATTGTCGATGTTGAGCACAGAAACTTTTTTTCCGAATGGAGCTATATTAATGTTGTTGTCCTGAACTATTGGTTGCCCATGAAGCGTCCAGGAAAAGTTAACAGGCAAATCTCCAGTTGAGATGGTGCATTGAACCGAAATGGTTTCGCCAGCAGACGATGGCTCTGAGCCGAAGGTGAACGGATGGATTTTGGGTATTACTAGAAAGGAAGTGTTCGCAATCAAACTTCACAGGGCATGCATAAGGCCGGCACAAGCATAGACTCTTCAGATGGTACCCTTCACTGTCAGTTCGGCAGCAAAACTGGAAATCCCGGCAGGGTTTGACGCTACACAAGTGTAGTTGCCAACGTGTTCCCTGCTGAGGTTTTCGATACTAAGCACGGACATTTTCTTGCCAAACGATCCCACACTGATCTCTGGATAGGCCGATACGGATTGTCCGTTCAGCTTCCAAATAAACGAAACCGGCAGGTCGCCACTGGCGATATGACATTGAGCCGACACCGACTCTCCTTCGAAAGATGGCTCGTCTCCGAAAGCGAACGGGTTGATTTTTGGCAACGCTATAAGATGAAAAGATAGACAGCACAGCACAAGTAGGCGCTTATTGGGACAATTTAAGACGCAGCGTTTGCAAGGAAATCGGGCGGGAATGCAAATCAACACACTCTAAATTCTAGTACTGGTACCATTCACGTGTAGCTCTGCGGAAAATGACGCATTTCCTGCTACGTTGCCTGCCACGCATTGATAAGTACCACTATGACCCTCGTAGACGTTATCAATCGAGAGCGTGCTGAGCTTCTTGCTAACTCGAGAAATCACAATTCCGTCATTGCCGGATTCAATGTTTTCGTTATTATGGAACCAGGAGATTTTGATGGGCAAATCACCCTTGACTACTGAACACGAGAGGGATGCTGATTCCCCTGAGTTCACTGATTCTTCGCCGAAATCCAGAGGCAGCACCTGAGGAATAACTGAAAAGCAGTTCCTTAACTTTCCTCGGTTAGGTGGTGGTTGCTTATGAGTGTAGAAGATATTCAATGCGTTCAAACACTTTGCTTCAGCTTGCTGAAAAGCGCCGAACCACCAGAGAGACATTGAAGAAAACCAGAATTTTGTAGGGACTGTATAGGGGTAAGATAAGGTGGTCAGATGGAGAGAGCACTAAAAGCCAAAGATTAGCTACCATTAACATACAACTCAGTGCTGTAACTATCCAGCCCGGCTGTATTTGCAGCCACACAAGTGTAGTTTCCAGCGTGATCTTCATTAACATCGTCGATGGACAGTGAGCTAATTTTTTTTCTGGATTGCACGTATGTCCCGTACTTTTCGTCAACCAGTCTGTTATTATGGAACCACGTTATGTTAACTGGCAAATCACCCTTGTGAACGGTACAAGTGGCAGAGGTCACTTCTCCGGCCCTCACGGTGGTCTCAGCGAATTCAAAGGGCAATATCTGAGGTGGTACTGGAAGTAACAAGCAATTGAGCGAAAACAATAGCAAAACTGCCGGAACCGAATGAAAATCAGCTAAAAAACGCCCAACTCGGCATGCAACTTTAGTCGGACTTAAGTACCATTCACTTGCAAATCAACGGAAAATTGCGCTTTGCCAGCCTTGTTTTGGGCCAGACAAGTGTAGGTTCCAGCATGTTCTTCGTTGATCGAATCAATCGTTATCGAGCTAGACTTCTTGCCCACTTTTGTAACTTGAATGCCCGCTATGTAGCCGATGCTAATGTTGTTGTGCAGCCAAGCAATATTTATTGGAAGATCCCCTTTATGGACGGAACATTGTGCGGACACGTAATCTCCAGAGTTGATTGGGTCATCGCCAAAGTCGAACGGAGATATTTGTGGTGGAGCTAACAACAGGAACAACAACAACTTGGCAATCTGAGTGGCGTATGTGATGTTTTACAGGAACCAGGGCCGATTTAGCATACTGTAAACATGCAACAACGAATCACCTTGATCATTTGATTTTCAAGTCTTGAGGGACGCTTTCGAAACCGTGAGCGAGGTTTTTTTGGATAGAATAGTGGGGAAATGGGCATGTTCGAAGCAAAGTAACATTAGGTACCATTGACATTTAAATCGGCAGAAAAAGTTGCAACGCCAGCTCTATTCTCAGCGACGCAAGTGTATCTTCCATTGTGCCGATGGTTGACCGAGTCAATGGTGAGAGTGCTGACTTTTGATCCCACTTTCGACACGAGAACACCGTCCAGAAATCCGATGCTTCTGTTGTTATGCAGCCATGTTATATTGATGGGAAGGTCGCCTTTATGAACCGAACACTGCGTAGACACGAAATCCTCCTGATTTATTGCTTCGGAGTCGAAATCGAACGGGGCTATTTGAGGAGAAACTGGAATCGAGAGCATTAGAACAACCACAGTTTCTTTGGCACTGAGCGTAGGGAAAATGGGGAATGAAACTTGCTTCTAAAATGATTAAATGCGCTTAAGGTACCGTTAACATTCAATACCGCAGAATGTCTGTCTGATCCAGCCGGGTTCACAGCTACACAAGAATATTCTCCGGCATGTTCGGCGCTGACCGAATCGATTGAAAGCGAACTGGTCTTTTTGCCGTTCAAAAAAATCATAACACCAAACTCATGATCCAAAGTTCTATTGTCGTGTAACCAGGTGATGTTCAATGGTAAATCGCCTTTGTGGACCAAACAGGTTAGAGACGCTGGATCTCCTGAGTTGACTGACTCCTCGCCAACACTGAATGGCAAAATTTGAGGAGGAACTACAAGGGGAGATATGGCACTTTGAGCGCAATAAATACAGATGATTATTCATGTAACTGTTTTTAAACACACGAATCACCCATGACCTTCCACTGTTTCTTCGGTTCCGGAAATATGCGCTACTTTCGCACTGAGCGTTCACTGGGAATGGACATTTAGTGGAAATTTTCCTTAAAATTAACATTCCTGCAGTACCATTGATGTTTAATTGTGCAGAGTGGCTGTCCATGCCGGCGTTGTTTTCAGCTACGCAGGTGTAGAGTCCGCTGTGCTCTTCACCGACAGAATCGATAGTCAAGGAGCTAACTTTTCTTCCATTTTTGAACACAGATATACCGAATTCAGAGTTCACAGTTTTATTATCGTGCAACCATGTGATGTTAATTGGTAAGTCTCCCTTGTGCACAGAACATGATACGGACGCCAAATCTCCCGAATTAACCGATTCTTCTCCGAAGTCAAAGGGCAAGATTTGGGGTGGAACTGAAAAGTAGCCAAGTGATGTAGGAGTTAGAGGATGAAAGCAACTAGCTAAAAAAAAGTCGAAATCTACAGCCGCAGCTCTTCTGAACTTTTTACCGTTAACGTTTAGCTTGGCTGAAAAGCTGGTTTTCCCAGCTTTGTTTTCCGCCACACATGTGTAAGTCCCCGAATGGCTTGCATCCACTGAGTCAATTGATAAGGTGCTGATTTTCCTGCCAGCATTACTGACCATAACGCCCTCCTTGTATCCGACGCTAATATTGTTGTGCAGCCAGGAAATATTTATGGGAATATCGCCCTTGTGTACTGAACACGTTAAAGACGCCAAATCACCGGAATTGATGGAATCTTCGCCGAAGTCGAAGGGTAAAATTTGCGGGGGAACTGCAAAACGGGGGAGATTTTTTGGTGAGCGGAAAGTGAGGAGTGAAAACATTAATTCAAACAAACACAGTAACCTTTAACGTGTAAGCTTGCTGAAAATCGCGCTGTTCCAGCTCTATTCTGCACAACGCATTGATAGTCGCCCGAATGGCTCTCATCAACTGAATCAATCGTCAAAGTGCTAACTTTCTTATTGGTTTGCCCAACCGTTACTCCGTGCAACAAGTCGACTGGCTTATTGTTAAAGAACCACGCGATTTGCACTGGAAAATCGCCCTTTGTTACTGCACACGTGGCACTTACTAATTCACTGGAAAAGACGCTTTCGTCCCCAAAGTCGAACGGATGAATCTGAGGTGGAACTGGAAAAGTTCAAAAACTAAAAATGCGATTTTCGAAAACGAATCACCAAATAACCTCTCAATCGACAGGGAACAACTGTGGTATTTGGAAAGTTGAGGCACGTGGGCAACTGCTGACATCTCAAAGGATTCAACAGATGCATCAATCAAAGGCATGGGATGGATAAGAGTGAGGGAACTACGTACTCATTTTAAACATGACTTGTAGCTACCATTAACGCTTAAAAACGCAGAATAACTGGCTTTGCCAGCAGCATTTTCGGCCACACAGCTAAATTCGCCAGAATGTGTTTCGTCCGCAGATTCTATAGTAAGGGAGCTAATTCGTTGATTGCTTTTCCCCACCGCTACTCCATGCAAGTCTTGAACGGGCTTCCCATTGAAATACCACGATATATTCAAAGGCAAGTCGCCCTTTATCACTGTGCACTGAGTTGTCGTAATCTCTCCGGCATTGATGACGTCTTCGCCGAAGGAAAAATGGGATATTTGAGGAGGAACTAAAGAAAACAAAACCACACTTTAGACAAAAAATAAATACCGTTAACATTTAAAGTTGCGAAATATTTGTCTTTTCCTGCCGGATTTTCAGCTACGCAGCTGTATTGGCCTGTGTGCGTAGAATCAACAGATTCGATGCTTAGCGTACTAATTCTCTGATTGGCCTTTGTAACAGAAGTCCCATGAAGAAGCCCAATTGGTTTTCCATCAAAAAACCACGTAACTTTAAGAGGAAAATCGCCCTTGCTAACCGCACATTGCGTGCTGACCATGTCTCCAGAATTTACTATTTCATCAGCGAATGAAAAGTGGGCGATTAGTGGCGGAACTGGAAATAGAGCCAAACATTTCTAGCAAAAAAACACCAGCAACCACATGGCAAAATTGAAATCCAAATGTAAAACTGAGCACACTGAGCGTTAACGATTAAGCGCAAAAAATCACCAAGTCCTGTCTGGGAATGCTAGAGTGCTAAGTTAAGAAAGAGAAAATACACCTAAAAGTACCTAGTCAGTGGTAGGTCCTGATGCCTAGGTGAAAGGTAGGTTTAAAACAAAACAACACCAAACCTAATTAGGCAAATACTCAGGCACAGGCCGAAGTCTACCATTCACGTCCAGGCGGGCTGAAAAGCTCGCTTTGCCAGCTACGTTTGTAGCTATGCAAGTGTAGTCTCCCTTATGGTGCGGTTCCACATTCGGAATATTTAGCAGACTGGCTTGGCTTCCAAACGCCGACGTCGTTATGCCCTTTGAATGATGGGTGACGTGTCTGTGATTATGGTACCATTTGATTTTCACGGGTTTATCCCCCTTCGGGACATAGCAAGTCAAGACGGCGCTATCGCCTGCGTTTACGGGCCCATCAAATTGGAAAGGGCTTATTGCAGGCGCCACTGTAACAACAGTAGCTGTAAACCGACGCAACTAGATTCATTTCAGCTTCAGAAAACCAAATGGGAGGTTATAGGTGATTCGTTGCTGCGACGCTAACAATTCATGATTACCATGAACCCTCACGGTGATTATTGACCTACCTGTGCTTGCCAATATTGCATAACACTCCTGATTCGACTCATATACTTAGCATACATAAATGATCAAGTTTAAATAGAGAACTGTCGGCATCCTATAGGGGAAATATCAAATTCACAATAGGTATTAAAGTGGTGCTGCCATATCAAAAATCTGCGTTTAACTTTTCCAAAAGATTTTTGGTTGATCCTATATGAAAAATTATTTTTTTGTCAAAAAAAAAATATTCAAGAACATTTTAGCAGCACCTTAAAACAGTGTAAAAGAAGCGTCAACTCACCCATAATTTGCACATCCAGAGAACCTCTTGCACTGTATCCCTGAGAGTTCTTCGCTACGCAAACGTACGTTGCTTGGTCGGAGGCTCGCTCTACATTTTCAATGATCAAAGTGCCATTTGGAAACACTTTCTGCTTCCTATTGATCGGCAACAATCTACCATCTGAAAAAATATATATTTTTACTACTAAACCCTTTCATTATGAGAAATATGACTTCTCCTTAGAGTAAATAATCGTGACTTCTCAGTTTAGTAGTTTAAAAATATACAAGGTGTTTCATGAGGACGGCGCATTATTTTAACCACGTTTCCTACGTCCGAAAATAACCATAGTTTGCTATATAAACGATGACCCAAAAATGCTTCTTCACATATTATAAATTGACACACTGAGGAAAATCATCATCTCGTTCCGATGTCTAGAATGATTCTTTAGAAAAGCTCTTTAGATCAGCATGATGTAAAAATGACAAACCGCCTAAATTTTTGTCAAACTTCAAAAATTCATTCAGACGGAACCAATAGCTCGATTCGAACCAAATTGACACACTGAGTAAAATAAAGCTTCTTTTATCGAGTGCGGAAGCTCTCGTTCCGATGTCTAAAATGTTTCTTCAGAAACGCTCTTTAGATCAGCATGATGTAAAAATGACAAACCGCCTACATTTTTGTCAAACTTCAAAAATTCATTCAGACGGAACCAATAGCTCGATTCGAACCAAATTGACACACTGAGTAAAATAAAGCTTCTTTTATCGAGTGC